GACCCTGGAGGAGATGGATGGACACAGTGGCTGCCACAATGGGCTCAAACATGACAACGGTGACGGTGGTGTCGGATTGAGCAGTGTTTTGTTCTATTGTCCATGGGTTGAGAAGACTTCTACCTGGTTGCACAACACCTATCAGCAATAAAGTCAATCTCTTGTAGCTCCTCCACGTCCCATCACCACACCTGTCTCTCCCTTGTCTCGCAAAGCTTCTTACAGAAGAGCTGGACATGCTGACTGTCGTGTGTCTTCTATCCACTCCTCAAATCAAGCCTGTTGACGTCAAGTCGATTTTGACTCATAGTAACCCCATGTGCAGCCGAAGAAAACATGGTAGCATAATCTTTCTTTAAGCAAATCACACACCCTGCCGTCTGAGGGGCTGCTGAGTACGTTTGAACCGCCAACCATTAGGTTAGTGACTAAGCACATATCACCCATTGGCCAGCTACAGTTTCCCTGCTAAAAACCAAACCCATGGCTGCTGACTCAGTTTCTGTTCACAGTGACACGGTTTCCAAGGCTCTACTCTTTGTGGAGGCCGACTGCCCCCCGCCCCCCGCCCCATCTTTTCCCTTGGAGGGGTTGGGGATCTGAACCACTGGCCTTCTGATAGCAGCTGATCCCTTAACCACTGTGCCCCCAGGACAGCTCTTTGGAAAAGGCCTCCGAAGACCCTCACTGACCTCCAAATGGCCAATGTTCGTGGATACTTGTGAGGCCCTACCAGACCTGAACCCCCTTTCTTTGTTTCAAACCTAGTACCACTCTCTTCTCTTTGAAAACCACATCTCTTTGTTTGGAAATCCCCGTCCCCTGACCGCCTTCCTGTGTCCCAGCCACCAAAGGTCCTCTTTGTCAGCTGGTCTTTGAACACCAGGCACCTACGGTTCTGAACACCCATCGTGTGCTTTCACTTCCTAATGTCTGTGATTGAACGAAGAGCTTTGTGCAGACAAATGCCCTGGAGGATTTACTACATCACTCAGTGACCACAGAGCTGCTGATTGGCCTTCCGTGCGGGGGACATTAAGCCTTTAATGTGCTGGACTTTAAGGCTATTTAAATCCTGGCCTCACATGCACTGCATCGTTCACTCCCCAGACCGCAGGCCTCCAGCAAGCTATGGACTAACTAAAACATAGGAAAAATTAGCACACTTGACCTGGCAGGCTCATTCTTCAATTTCATATGTTGTGTATTAGAATAGGGTCTAGAACAGCAGTTCTCAACGTATGGGCTGCGACCCCTTTGGGGATCAAATGACCCTTTCCTAGGGGTCGGCTGATTCATAACAGTAGCAAAAATTACAGTTATGAAGTATCAATGAAAATAATTTTATGGTTGGGCGTTCAGCACATGAGCAGCTGTATTAAAGGGTAGCAGCATTAGGAAAGTTGAGATCCACTGGGCTAGAATATTTAGATGCTCATAAGAACATTGGCTTCATCTTCCTGGGCCGGACACTTGCGCATGGATTCCTCACAGGAGCTCATTGAAAGGTCCCGAGTGGCACAAACTGCTTGGACTCGAAATCTTACCAAAAAGCTCTCCCTGGGACCCACCCATGGTGCTGTGGAAGCAAGCGCTGGCACCCTGCTTCTGTAAAGATGACGTTTTGCCATTAGTTGGACACTTTCATCCTTGTTTAAAACCACAACCACCCCAACGTGAACACTTCTTAGAAAGCTCCTAAGTCAAGCGTTTAAAATAGAGACAATTGCCATCTTTCCTTG